ATATCATTTCGTGCATAATTCAAGTACCGAAAATACTGTAGTGGACTTCCTTGAGAAAGATGTCGGGGACAGATATTCAGCATGCATCACAGTGTTTCTCGATCTGGCTGAGGCTTTCGATACTAACTCCTATGAAATATTAGCAAGCTAAACCGTTATGGTATGCGAGGGGTGGCGCTCAATCTCACAACAGACTACTTATCTAACAGAGTCCAGCAAGTGACAATTGGTACGGAGGTAAGTTCAGACACCATTGTGAAGATAGGTGTACCACAAGAAACGGATCTAGGTCCATTGCTGTTCCTTGTGTACATGAACAATATAACGAATATCGTATCGACAATTCAAATGGTCATCTAATTACTGCCATAATATTCACTGGGAACGAATGAAAAGACGTCAAACTCACTGTAGAGTCAGAACTGAATAATGTTAGTCTTCTGCTGAACCATAATAAACTCACCTTGAATATTGGAAAAACACATTTTCTTTCAATTTTCAACAAGGGTGAACCAACCAAATATTTTTTCTATAAAACTACGCTGTCCAAATTGTGAAACAAGAACATGTTGGTGTCCAATTATTGAAGAAGGTAGATCAATAAAATATTTGGATGTCATCCTAGTTAGACCAACATATCCGATGCTCGGAACATACAGGGTGTTTCATAATTGAATGCTGATCCTAAAGGGCAATAATCCTTGGATGATTTCAGGAAAAATTCTTCATGTGAACATAGTTCCGTAACAGCTTCGTTTCTGAGATACAGGATGTTGAAATTTAACAAAAAAATCAGTTATTCCCCAATATCTCTGAAACAGTTCTGGCTTTTATCTCCAATTTTAGTACATGCCAAGTATGAATAGAAAAACATTTTTTCCATAATGAAGGATTTCTTAATTCCCATCAGTGGCGTCCCTGTTATTATACCCTGTCATATATTTCATCAGAATAATGATACGCCACTGTCGTTTTTCCAAATATATATTATTTTTGTAATTATCCTCTATCTTCTCATAAAAATGGTCTCCTGTCTTTTTTTCGTCCGGCGAACGGTTTTTGAGTTAGAAAATAAAATGCATTCATTTGCTTGTCCCTATTCGATTTTTACTCTTAGTCATAATTTCACAATTGTGGCAACCAAAAGATCTAAGCAATATTTTTATGATTTTATGGTAACTATTTTTAAGTTTTTGTAATGAAGGAAAAAGCCAGAGCGGTTTCAGAGATATTGGGGAATAACTGATTTTTTTGTTAAATTTCAACATCCTGTATCTCAGAAACGAAGCTGTTACGGACCTATGTTCACATGGAGAATTTTTCTTAAAATCATCCAAGGATTATCGCCCTTTAGGATCAGCATTCAATTATGAAACACCCTGTATATTACTCATGTCAGTGAACGACTAAGAGAACTGATGCACAAACTCTACGAATTGAGAGGAATTCTTGCCAGAAAAAAATTAATCATGGTCTACACATCTTTGACTGGATCTGAGATATTGTATAGTAAAATGGGGAGGAGCTTTCACTACACTGAATATTTCACAGACTGTGCAGAACACAATATAAAAAATAATAATAAAAAAAAATAATAATAATTTCCTACTGAGAGATTATATGATGAAGCAAGAATATTCATTGTTGAAACGATATTAATTTTTCAATGTATTATGAAAGTGTACACTAGTCCTAGAGAAATGAAATAGTATATCACACACCGGGGTGGAAAGTGATTCATTCCTGTCGTAAGATTAGTTAGTTAGTAGCTATAATTTCGAGACAGGAATGAAACTTTCTACCGAGGTTTGTATACTATTTTATTCACAACCATCATGATTCGGGAAGTAGAGGTTGTGCAATGTGACACTTCCCAACCTTCAATGATGTTAGTAATGACAACATTACATATATTGTTGTAGATAATTTGAAATTATTCACATTACTCGCTCCATATCAAACATGGATTTTGAAAGTCAACTATTCAAAAAATTCCCGAAGATTTCTGCTATATTTTGGACCACAATTCCATAATCTATTACTCTTACATCTCAAACAAACTCATGAACTGGGAAAATTTAAAAAAAGAATCCGAAATTATATGACAGATCATCAATGAGTTTCCCTAGGATGATGACTATCTAAACTAAATGATCTTCTTTATCCATCTCTTCATTTTCTTGATTTTATATCAATTTTTCATTGTCGATCTCTACAAATAATCAAATTTTACGTCCTAATTTCCAAACGAAGAAACGATTTTTTCCGAAGGCAAGTACTTTTCGTCCGCAGACACCAACTCTTCGTCCGCTGTAGAGTTGCCAGTTCTACTAAATTTTCAGAAGATCCCCTGATTTGCATATTGATCTACTAGTCTACTGGAACATTCCATAATCTACTGAGAAAGATATTGACACTCATTTATTATTATAATCCACTATATTATTATTGATATTTGGTCCTTCACATACACTCATGAATCGCATGATATTTCGGCACGCTCTGTTTCAATTTATTCCACAGAATGAGTAATATGAATTTACATATAGGTACTATAATGATATGTATAAATCAAGAAAGGACAATACTTCATCTGATTCAGATTCAATTCAATATTTTTTATACCTCTGTCATCAGTTCGTTCCTTTTACGTTGGATTTTTCATTCGTTTTGTAGTTTTGTTGTTCAATTTCACTATACGTTCCCTATTATTTTCCATGTACTCAAATCTTATAAGTACCTATGTAACAGTATTTTATGATATTTGTGAATATGTTTGAATTGAGAATAAGGAATATGTTTTTCTTTTTCGAGAATGTTTGTTTTGTTTGTTTCCATTCTGTTGAAGAATTTTGTCATCAAAGTACATAATGTTTTGACGTCATTGTTCAATTTCATAATCCTTTCTCGGAATTCGAATAGCATAAAATAGGTCAGAATTTTTTATAGAAATTCAACTGATGAAATAAAAATCGAACGGGCAACCCTGGTCCGCGCGTGCTGTTGTGAAATCAATTATTCACGAAATCCGATAGATTTCACGTGTGGATAGGACCGTTTGACGTACAACTCTTCACAAGAAGCACCAGAATGCAAGCAATCTTGCCTAGGCATGAGGCTTATCCTGGGTCGTTCTTAACAATTCAATATTCATAAAATACATAATGAGCTTATATCACAAAACAATTTTATTCCATAATTCGATAGAACTCACCCAAACTAGCTTACCACCTCAAACCGTTTCTTGCTGTGTGCTCCCTACGTTTCATAAAAATTTATTGAAATCCCCGATTTTTCGGACCTCTGAAAACGAGGCGATGATGTGACGTCAAAACCCTGATACTGAAACAAGACTATTCCAGACAGAGATGAATGAGAATGATACATGATTTCTGACAGAGTGAATTAGCGCCCGTCGGCCGTTCGGTATTTTCTTTCAACTATGGCGAGATGAGGTTTCTACGTCATAAGAGGGTCCGTTTTCAGAAGGTACTATTACTTATGTCCAGAAATAAAACATTCCAGTTAATTTTTCGATCGAATTATGTCGTCAATCATTATTTATGTATAAAAGGATTATTGTAAACATGGTTTGAGTTAAAAGTTCTACCAAGTTGTACACGCCCATTGTGTGAATAAAAACTCGAATGTGATGCACTGAACATGTTTGAAATAAGAATCGAAAAACTTGTTTTGTCTTATTGTTTCACTGTGTTCCATATAAATCAATGAGTTACTTTGTATGTCATCAATTTCATTTCCGTATTTGATATCACAATGACATCTCATCTCACAGGGCATCATGTCAAATTTCGCACGGAATGATAATTTTTTACTCATGGGAATTGATTCCGTGCTCGTTAAACAATATTTTCATATTGTACAACACCCCCCATTTTATTTATCGCTCCGAACCCGGAAACACTCTGAGATATATAATGTATGTAGATATCTAAAAAAAACAAATTCATCCTCATCAAAACTCATTATAATTTGAGAAATAAATTCTCAGATGAATTATCTGGACTGTATATATACTTACTATGCATTTCTATATAATTTGTTCAAAAGTCCGTACTCATATGAATATTACAGATTTGAAGCTTTTTTCCGCCTCGTATATTGTTTAGACTGTAAGTAGGAGACAAATTATAAGGAGAGACCCGTACGGGTTTCTTAAAAGTATAATTGAGAGTTTCACACTATTCATATAATCACAATTTATGGATTAACTTATTCCATAAACTGTGATATAATATACTGTTTCATGAAACTAGCTGTATTTTCCTACAATGTTATAAAATATATCAGGTATACCTTATATATACTTGTGTGTAGCGATGAAAACGTTCCTTTTCAGAGTCACCATGTCGAGATAACATATTCTAAAATAAATAAAGGAAGCAAAGATATTGCTCAACCTTTCTGTTAAAGGAAATAGTGTGAGATATGGGATGTACCTATCGCAAATAAGCGATGAAAACCCTGGAACACAGTGACAATGAGTAGTAGTTTCATGACCGTCTCATCAACAATATTACTTCATTATATCATTGTTATTCTGTTCTCCAGTAGGTACTTACCATTCAGTCACTGTATTAATTACATCTCCGCCGATAAAATTATTGTGGCAGGTAAGGCAAAGGTGAAGTAGGTATTAGTCATGAGAACATTGGTATCTTGGTTTATCGTAATCAAAAGTAAATCCAGTAAAAGTGACTTCCTATGAAAATGTGTGAATAATATAAATGACTAACACTCGTCGATGCGGGTTTTTGACCATACGTTGTTCATTCATTCCCTTGTTTGAGTTACACACTGTTAGCGCATCGACTTTTATTAGTTTCAATTAAAATTAATTTTTAACCATCCTGCTCTAGAAGGGACGTTCCCTTGCAACTTCTGGATGACTACCAGTGTAATGTGCATAGTGTGTGTAAGCAACTACTACTAAAATGGATCAAGTGAATTATTCTCAGTTTTCGGAATTACGTCGGTATGTATACACAATTTTTGACACATAATCGGTATAGTAGCTAAGTAGGTACTTACCTAACTGCAATGTTTGTTTGCGCTCGGGAATTATTGTTTGACATGTGGTGTACATGTGCGTGCGACCAGAGGTTATTGTTCTGTATTCAGTCTGAAATGCACATAATTGTTATTAAACGGAAATATGTTCAAGATTGAATTCTAAATCGAAGTAAGTATAAGTAAAAAAAAATCACTTCAATATTATATGTAGTAGTCTTACCGTGTACCGTATCGTGTGGCCTATGAATTAAGTACCCACCTACAGGTATATCTCACGAATTGATTTGGAATTCAGAAATATTTTAATGAAAAAAAAAACGATAAAACGTTTTGTGTATTTGTTATCCCAAAACTTGAGAGCAAATAATAATTGAAGGAAATATTCTACTTGCATAATAATCAATGCAACAAGCGAGTTGCTAATCAAATTCACATTTTAGCTTGATGCAACAACAATAAACATTATTGGCTGCACTAGTTTTGTAAATTCGCGCACTCTGTATACAGAGTAAACCGATAAGATGATTATTTCGGCATCAGTAATTTTTTTATCACACAGAATTATTTCTTCATCCTCAAAATCGTAGTAGGTTGTATATACTGAGTGTTAATGAATGTGTGCGAAAAATATCAGGGGGTAATTCCTTGTCATATTTTAGAAAAAAAAGTGTATATACTTATACAGAGTGTATCTAAATAACACCGAATAAATTCAAGGGGTGATTTCTTGTGATATTTTAGGAAATGAAGTCCATATGAACATTTTTCCGAAGGTGCTTCGTTTTGGAGATACAGGGTATTAATATTTCCATGAAAAATCGTTTTTTTAATTTATTACAATTCCAATGAAACGTTGTGGTTTTGTTGATAGTGATGTGGAGCTTCTTCTGGTGCGATTAGATTCGGAATAATATTTTCAGTTGCGTCACAGTGGGTAAATTTATCGATATTTATGGGGAATTTCATTATATGCCACCGGTTTATCTGAGTTTCATATTTTTATTAAATTGAACTATTGAAATAACAACTTTTTTATCCTTGAAGAAACAATAAAAACTCTATTTGACTCCAAATTGAATGTAGGCGTTTTCAAGATATTTCCATTGAGATTACTCAATAACCCCAATTACAATCATTTTGAAATTTTGGGGCTTCCTCAGTCTCCAATCATGCTGCATTTTGGCATCATGGAAGCTTATACAGGGGGTTAGAAATAAAAACAATTCATACTTCCAACTTCAGCATCCTGCATCTCAAAAACGGAGCAAGTTAGAAGTTTATATGAACTTCATTTGCTAGAATATCACAAGGAATTACCCCTTGAATTTTATCGGCGTCATTTAGATACACTTTGTATAAACATGTTTGTACAGGGTGATCAGTTAACCGTAGCGAGCGGCCATATCTCATAAGATATTGGTGTCGTATAGATTTGAGAAAAAAATGTAAAGAGAAAAGTCGCCAAGAGAAATTGCTGGAAATTATTTTCGAGTTTGTCAAACGTCCGGTAGTGGGCGTAACAACCAACAACAAGTAGAAAAATGAGATTGTTATAGAATTTTGTCCTTTGAAAGTATATCGATGATATCATTTTCATATTTACTAACCATTTCCCTAAATTTTTTGTCCTGAACGTTTTTTTCTATCTATCAAAATAAAGCGGTGGGGGAAGTTCAATTGTTTTCTTAAACAAACCAAGATTTCTCCCGTTTTCTCCGACCGATTTCAGCAAACTTAGGCTCATATGACAGAGCATACTAGATGGCGTTACATGATATCAAAAAACAAATGTAATGGTATATCAATTTTAATATGTTTTGAAAGAGGATGAATTTCTCTATATTTTAATGGAAATAATTAATCATCTACCTTTGTTGGAACCGTTGATATTGACCAAAATATAATTTTATTACATTTAAAAATGTCGCGCTACTTTTTTTTTATGAGAATAAAAATCAGTTTTGTAATCTCTCATTAGTTGCCAACAAAAAGAACCTCGTGACTTCGTTTCGTTAGACAAACGGTTTTGGATTGAAAAAATAAAATAGGTTTACATACTGGGCGCCCCATGTAAACTCCATCAAATAATAACATACATTATTCAAATTCAAATTCTCCTTTCCTTGTAATTGATACAAAAATAATTATCTTATGATAAGAACAACGAGAAGAGCAAGTGAAAAGTGTTTCGAATTCTTTCTGAAAGTTAACCAAGAAGGTAGCTGTTCATTTCTTGAGATTTTTTGACATTTTCTCTTTATGTTTCATGAATGAAAATCTGATTATCATTTCAATATATTTGTAGCAAGGACAAACAAGGTGTCACTGATTATAAGTAAGAGATTCAACTCCCAGATTCATGAAAGGAGAAGTTTTTCAACACAGAGACCGTTTTGGTTTCTGATTTTTGTCTGCACTACAAATATGTTGAATTTACACTTATATTTCAATTTTTAGATACTAGGAGAGGAAATCTCTAGAAATCTAGGAAAGTGTGAAGTATTTTGATGACAAAAAAATGATAATGAGAGAATTCTAAATGAATATAGATGAATTGAAAAATAGCTCAATGTGGTTGAAGTAATGTAAATAATTATTGATTGAGTTGTATTAATGATTTTCATGATGCAACTTACTCATTTTTCAATTTTGTGAAATTATGCAGAGATTTCAAACTTGAGCAGCGATTTATTATGTTGATATTCTTGAATGACTGGATGAGGCGCCAGTTTTAACATTTTAGGGAATTTGTTCCGGCTTCAGGTATATTTCATGTTCGATGCCTAATTTGGCTACATGACATATCAAACATTTTCAATTTTGAGTACAAATACAATGGATTGTAGAGTCCCCTATATACTCATATCTGTTTCCGATCTGCTTCGTTATGTGTGTCATTGATACAGGAAGATTCATAGTGAAATTATATTTTGTAGAAAATCACGGAGGAAGGGGAGCAAGTGCAAGGGTTTGATGAAATGTTTTGGCACTTGCTCCCCAAGATATTGTTTCATATTTGATAATAGGTTCTATAAGTCCGTGATATATTATTCTTATTCTGTCTACTTCTAATATTGCCTTGGCTTGCCTAAAGAGATGGTAATTTCTAATTGAAAATAGTCAGCATAATATGAGTCTGAACAGATATTTCTTTTGTTTCTCATGGGATTTAGGGTAGGTTGATACCACATGAAAAAATTATGAAAATCGACCTGCTATTCCTGCTTCACGCATTTCATTCGGAGAAAATCATGCTAAATGATGGAATGAATCAATATATATCAAGGGATTGGAGAAACCTCAGACATTTGAATTTGTTTTTTCTCGACCAATCATTCTTAGAATCCCAGATTTGAACAGGGTGATGCATATCACGTACTGATTATTATTCATTATTTTGATACCGACATGGAGTTTGATAGGGATATATGATGAGTTGTGTGTCCCATGAAAACCCGCCCATATCATATTTTTCAAGAATCAATTTGCATTCTATGATTCATCTACTTTCTATGAAACAGTGAAATCCGTCATGCTATCTCGAGAACGGCAATAAATATCAAAAATCTGAATCAAAAAATACCCCAACACCCCTGTCGACTTCCGCAAAGGTCTATTACATGGAGAAAGTCCGAACACCGTATCACGAAAAACAAAAAAATCAGTACGTCATCATGACGCGGAATAATTCTGAGTTCATTGACGAAATGAAGTGAGTGACAAGTGTATGTTTTTTGCCCTAAATTCGATAGCAATCAAGACGATCAACGAAAAATTCTTCAAAAATCGTTACTCAGAATTGCCTCTTTGCTGAAAAAAAAAATGGAAAAGTATTATTTCTGATGAAATTTTTTCAAGTCCCGATATTCATATTTTCTCAAATATCTCGAGAACGGCACAAAATATCGGAAATCTAAATCGAAATATACCCCAACACCCTTGTCGACTTTCGCAAAGGCCTATCACATGGAGAAAGTCCGAACACCGTATCACGAAAAACAAAAAAATCAGTACGTCATCATGACGCGAAATAATTTTGAGTTCATTGAAAATAAGAAGTGCCGGCATACAGCGTTACTCTAAATTTCGTACACCGTTTGCTTAATAGTTTCAGGCATTCCCTGTAATGACGGAAGGAAGGTTCGATCATTTAGGCCGAGTCAGCTTAGGTTGTTTAGAAGCAGTAGTCTCTCCTGTTCTCTCAAGTAATTTTCTGGATATACTTTCTAGGAAGCAGGTTCATTTTGGCGGAAAAATAGTCCCCCTCCTTATTTTTTTTATCGCTTGGAGCGCAGGAAAGGGAATCCCTATAATGTTCAAAGAACATCGTGCGTTCCTAGGAAGGATAAGCACAGGAGGTAGGTATTGGAATTTTATTTGAACTTTTGGAGATTATATGTTGTTGGAAATACTTCCACAGGCAATGAATTCTAGAGCCTAGCCGTTCTATGGATGAAGGAGTCTTGATAAAGTGCTGTTCGACATCTTTCGAGGTTGACAACGGAAGGATGTGCTGACTGGGCTTGTCTAGTTCGTTTGATTGGTATCGCTAGAAAAGGTATGATAGCAGAGATTTCCGAAGAACATTTCCCGTGGAAGTATCGATAGAAAAGTGAAGTAAATGCATTATGTAGAAAATAATTATATTTTCTTCCTCAACCCTCCGGCAAACAGAGTAACGGCTGAGAATGGAAGTTACGCTGTTATGCTATTCGCCGACAATCCGTGAAATGACTATGCATTTCAGGAAATGACGGATTTCACTAATTGACGCCGACATATACGAATCGATATTCAAGTTCATCATCAGATGAAAGTGTTTTTTTTATCGCTTGGAGCGCACGAAAGGGAATCCCTATAATGTTCAAAGAACATCGCGCGTTCCTAGGGAGAATAGGGATAGGAGGTAGGTATTGGAATTTTTTTTGAACTTCTGGAGATTATATGTTGTTGGGAATACTTCCTCAAGCAATGAATTCCAGAGCCTACACTGAAAAAAAAAATTGAGTGAAATTTCACTCAAGGTCCACGCAATAATGAGTCTATTTCGGTCCACGCCCGATTGAGTTGAAATATCGCCCTACTTGACTGTATAAAATGATAATTCATGACCCGATTCAATCAAATTTGTTGTAAACATTCTCATTGATAGGAAAACTTGATGAAATA